TAGTTTAAAACTTCGGTTTTGCGCATGGCGTTTCAACGGCAATACAATGTAATTTAGTTCTCCGCCGCTATTTTTTTGAAGCCGGTTTGCCTGCGATGCATTTGCAATCTGTCGTCCGCGTACAGGAATTCTTCTAAGCTCGCAACTCATGCGACCAGCGCCAGGGTTGAACCACCGAGGCCTTAAGAGCGGTTTGTTTACCACCGTAGCTTGAGCCCTTTCTGCGCCAACCACAGGCGCATTCATCGCGGCGCGCGGGCAGGGCGCTGGGCGTGCATGCTCGTGCGAAACAGCGTTGCAGATGGACACGGGATTGAGGCTCTGCATGGAAGCAGACCCGAATCCACTCCTTTCTTTCCGTTCCATATCTGCTCAAATCTTCGCGGGGTGAGTCGCATTGACCCCCGTCGGGCACCCTGGGCCGCGTTTTTCGCCACGGGCCTGCACGCTGCGATCGCCATAGGCCTGCGGGCGACGGGGGCGCCGCCGTCCTGCGCCGTGCTGGTTTGCCCGTGTGCTTCTTGTCTGGCGTGCCCCGACGCAGGCCCCTGTGGCGCAGTTGAATTTGGATGGAATCAAAACTCCTCTCGCACTGGCTCGACTGTGGAAGGCGCGCCCAGACGATCTGTTCGCGCCGCGCTGTCGGAGATCACTGGCGCGGGTCGGGCAGGTAGTGCTCGGCCACTTCGCGTTTTGTGCGTTGGTGAATAGAAGCATGATCAGCGTCTTCAGAAGCATTTCCTGGACCATAAAAACCAACTACCTCCACCCAGGGTCCCTGGTGGGGCACCGACTGGCAGGGGATGGCCGCAGTGGCTTCTTGGTGGATTCACATTGGCGTCTGCCCTGGCCCCGTGCGGTGGCGTCTGCCGATGCGTCTGAGGAGGCGGTCGGGGCCGTGCTGAGTCCCTGGGGCGCTCGGGGCGCCAGTGACGCGGGACGCGTTCTGGGGCAAGAACGTTTCAGACAGCTCACCGAAGTGTCGGCGTGGGGCCGCTTTTTCGAAATGCCGGAGAACCGCGCCGATCAGCTGTATCTCAACGGGGCCGATTGTTCTGGTAAGGCTTCCGATGTGGATTCGAGATTCAGAGGTGCCGCGCGATCTTCTGTCTGGGGCCTGCGGGGGGACGCTCTTGGCCGGCCCCTATAGGTACCGCGATGAGTGGGTTTACGCTCTGGGGGCCAGAGCTCTGACGTTGGGTTTTAGGCGGTGGTGAGCGAGCGCCGACTGCTTGTTTTCTCATGGGGACACCATGGGCGCGCGTCTATCCTTCGTTCGTGGGAGGGCAGATGTCCGTGTCCTGGCGCGCAGTCGGCGCGCCGAGTGTTTGGTGTCTGACCTTGAAACTACGAGCCCACTTCCGATGGATACCTTCTGAAAGGAACGCTGCTGAAGAACCGTGCCGATTTTTTCTGTCGTTCATTTTGGCTCTGACCCTCAGCCTACCGTTCGGTTGTTTGACAGCGTTCACCATCGTGTTTATCGCCACAGGCCCGGTCCCATGCCGCAAGCTGCCCCAGCCGACCCGACGAGATTGTGGACCTTGGCGAGCAGCCGAACACCGGCCAGAGCCATGGCGACCACGACCCCTTCGCGCCAGCTGGGGCAGCGCTCGACGACCGGCGACCAGGCGAAGGGCTCGGCTGGCGAGACCGCGATGGCCCCGCTGGAGAGCGAGCTGGACATCGAGCATTCGGCGCGTTCTCCAAACAGCGACGCGACGTCAGAGACGGTCAGGCGACGGCGCGCCCGACGAAGCAGGCCCGGTTGTTCGACCTCCGAAGCCTAGGAGAGCTTGCCAGATGGTCGAGCCAGGGAGGCTTCGCAGGCTGGGTCTCCTGCCCCTCGAGTCGAGCGCGGCGCCGGCCCGGGCCGTGCGCAGGCGCCGCGAGCTGCCGAGGGGGCGGCGAGACAAGGCCCGCCATCGCGACGAGCCTCGCGGCGGAGCTGCCGAGGTGGGCGCGCCGCTTGCGCGGCGCCGTCGAGAGCTCTCCGACCAGGGCGAGAGCGCCAGCGAGGGCGGGGAGCTCGTGGCCGGGCTCGAGCAGTTCGTTCCAGAGTTTGGTCGCCATGGCGGCTTCAGCTATCGCGGAGCAAGTGGGCGGCGAAGGGGCGGGGGCGGCGGTGTCCGCCGCGTTCGCGCCGCCCCCTGGCCCGGGGCGTCCAAGTCGCAATCGCGCGAGATATTTGCCCGGCCAACTTTCGGATCGTCGCAGTGCGCGCGCCGTCTGCGCCGGCGGCGCTCGCTCGCCTGCCGGGGCCGCTGACGTTGCTCGCAGAGGACCTCCTTGCGCCGGCGGCCAGGGCATCGGCCTCGTGGGTCTCCGTCGCTTTCAGACTGGATTGGGAAAATATTTGAAAGACGCGAGCGACAGACGAGCGCGACGCGTGCTCGGCGCCGTTGCCCCGCGTCGTGGCCGCCGCGCCCGGGAGAGGGAACCCGCAGGACAAGGCGTTCAACTTCGCGCGCGGCGCGCCTGGAGCGGCTCTGGCCGGCGACCAGGCGAAGGGCTCGGCTGGCGAGACCGCGATGGCCCCGCTGGAGAGCGAGCTGGACATCGAGCATTCGGCGCGTTCTCCAAACAGCGACGCGACGTCAGAGACGGTCAGGCGACGGCGCGCCCGACGAAGCAGGCCCGGTTGTTCGACCTCCGAAGCCTAGGAGAGCTTGCCAGATGGTCGAGCCAGGGAGGCTTCGCAGGCTGGGTCTCCTGCCCCTCGAGTCGAGCGCGGCGCCGGCCCGGGCCGTGCGCAGGCGCCGCGAGCTGCCGAGGGGGCGGCGAGACAAGGCCCGCCATCGCGACGAGCCTCGCGGCGGAGCTGCCGAGGTGGGCGCGCCGCTTGCGCGGCGCCGTCGAGAGCTCTCCGACCAGGGCGAGAGCGCCAGCGAGGGCGGGGAGCTCGTGGCCGGGCTCGAGCAGTTCGTTCCAGAGTTTGGTCGCCATGGCGGCTTCAGCTATCGCGGAGCAAGTGGGCGGCGAAGGGGCGGGGGCGGCGGTGTCCGCCGCGTTCGCGCCGCCCCCTGGCCCGGGGCGTCCAAGTCGCAATCGCGCGAGATATTTGCCCGGCCAACTTTGGGATCGTCGCAGTGCGCGCGCCGTCTGCGCCGGCGGCGCTCGCTCGCCTGCCGGGGCCGCTGACGTTGCTCGCAGAGGACCTCCTTGCGCCGGCGGCCAGGGCATCGGCCTCGTGGGTCTCCGTCGCTTTCAGACTGGATTGGGAAAATATTTGAAAGACGCGAGCGACAGACGAGCGCGACGCGTGCTCGGCGCCGTTGCCCCGCGTCGTGGCCGCCGCGCCCGGGAGAGGGAACCCGCAGGACAAGGCGTTCAACTTCGCGCGCGGCGCGCCTGGAGCGGCTCTGGCTCGCGCGCCGATGCCCGGGCATCGAGGGTCGCCGCGTCAGGCCAGGCGCCCGGGCGCCCCCCTTGACGCCGTCGCGAAGCGTTGGGCCGGAGCCGATATCCAGGCCCGCGGTCGCTGGAAGGCAGACAAGTCAGATCTTGGGGCGCGACGGCAAGGCCGAGGTAGTCGAGCGTCGACGAGCTGCCCGGCCACGTGGCCAGTCGCGCGACGGCGCGCGAGCGCCGTCTCCGAGCTCCACCGCCGCCCCGAGCCCCACCCGACTCCACCCGCCAGATGCGAGCTCCACCCATGAGATGCGACCCCGTACATGGCCCATCTGTTGGGCGGCGCGAGCGGAGTGGGACGAGCAGCGCGCCGCTATGAAATCAGCGCTCGCCTCTTGGAAAACGTCAGTTTCACGTGCTTTGGACTTGAGAGGCACCATGAGTACGATGCATTTTTGTTCGGGCGTTCAGGCCAGCAAAGTCGCGGCAGCCATGATCGCCGTCGAATGCCGGGCCTATGGCGTCGCAAGACACAGGGCCAAAAGTATTTCGTTCACGGAATGAGCCGCGGGGCGTCAGTGTTCTTCCCGTGCCCTTTTCGAGGAAGGAGCAGCAGGCCCTCGACGGCGGGCGCGCACAGCTCATATGTTTTTTGCGGCTGATACGGCTTCTCCGCAGAGAGCATGTTCCGCGGGTGTTTGAGAAGCCCGTCTTGAGTCTGTTTTGGCACGCTCCCGAGTTGATCGAGCTATCCTTTGAAAGTCGCGTCGAGGTGAGGGACATAGATAAGCGCTATGTTTCGGCACCCCTGGCAGAAACTTGCCAAACTGATGTTTTTTGAGCGGTGGCCTTGTCGACGTGAGTTTGTGCACCCGGTGCGTGGGTAGTGCGCGGGGTATACGCGCCTTCAGCGGTCAGAAACACGTTGGGCTCGAAGGCACAAACATGACCCCAGGGCCCAAGCAGGCCCCATTCGATTGTTTAAGCTTCTGGGGGAATTATCGCGCGCTTCCGCGGTGAACGCCAGGGCCGATCATTACGTCATTCACTTGTAAGCTCACATCATTGGGACGGTTTGAGAATCAGCACATGTGTGGGCCAGCGCTTGTGAACACAGTTGCATATGATACATAATGTTAGTCTTTATAATTATGTAGAAGAGGAGTATCATGTAGTGCAAACTATGCTTGCAAATGTGCACGGGCTGGGGTCTTGATTGGGAACAAATCGGAGTACGCTGGTTCATCTCATTTCCATCTGTGCTCAAGTCTCCCACCCACTCCCCCCGTCCGCTTCCCCTCCTACATTTCAAGATTTTGGCGTTTGAAGGAATATCGCCGCACATACTTTCCCATTGTGCAAATTCTAGTTGTCCTTGCTCGTGTTAAATTGTGGGCCCGCTCGTGAATATGGTGGCAAGGCTGATGAAACAGACCGGTGATCCTTCACTTGAAAAGAAGGTACTCGGGGATGTATCTGTGTCACCCGCCTGGGCGCGAAGATGCCCGCGCTCCGCCCAGCGCGCCCTGGGCTGGCCTTAAAGAAGCGGCGCGAGTGCGCGAGAGTGCGAATACACGGGAGGCCCAGTCTGACGTGTTCGAGATGCCTCGGGCGGTCGGGGGGCCCGTCTCTGCGAGCCCGCCAGCCAGGAGGGTCGCCGACCTGTGCCGCGGGGTGTTCGCGCGCGGCCGCGTGCCCGTGCAGCATGCGCTGGCCATCTCCAAGCCCTCGGACTGCCAGTCGCTGGCGGCGCACCTCCCGCTCTTGCGGGGTTTGTAGGTTGGGCTCGGAACATAGTGCGCGCCGCGCCCTCTCCTGCGTGCCTGCGCCTGTGCCAAGTCGCTTTGCTCCAGCCAACGGGAGTTGCAATCGTGCACCGCGCTTCTCTCTTATTTGCTGCGTTTCATCCTGCGTTCCTTCCCCGTCCCCGCTGGGGCAGATCCCTGGGCTCGACGAAACCCGGCGTTTGGGCTGCGTTGGGGCTATCTGGCGAGTTTTTTCGAACGGTCTTGGAGGCCTTTGAGCCGGTTTCAACGCCGTGAAGGCCGAAGAGTCGTATACCGCCAAAGCGCACGGATTCTACATGGAGTAATATATGAGCGAGCTGGGGCCTCTGGACCGTGTTGGGTGCGTGCTCGGCCTTCTTGGGTCGGTTGAGGGGGTTTATCTTTCCATGCCGCGTTCGTGGAGGGCGAGGGGTGGGGGTGAAATCCTCGGTCTGGGAGACCTTGGTGGGGGGCATTATGGGGGGGAGACGCTCACACGCTGGTGGGACGACGACGACGACGACGACGACGACGACGATTGCCACCGACGACCACCGACGTTGCCCGGAGGTCTTCGGAGGCCCCAGGCTCTGGGCCCTCTTGAAGCGCGCATCGTGACATTACCGGGTGGGGCGGCTGCCCCGGTAACGCTCTCCAGAGATCCGAGGTCGTGATGTTCCGAAAACGGGGTCCCCGGAAGTCTCGACCCTCTCCCTATACGGCCGGCTCTTCATGTAGATTTTTCAAGCGGCGCAGAGGCCCAGAGGCGGCCTCCAGAGGCCGAGGGCTGCTGGAAGATCAAGACGTCGGAGCTCTGGGTGGTCCGCCTGCCCGCCGATGTGGCCAAACGTTTGGCCGAAGCTTGGCCAAGCTATTGGATATGTGTTTCCGCAGCCGTCGTCAAAAACCTTGGCGGAAGCCGTCCTTGGGCCCTGTTGGGGCCGTTTTGGGGCTGGGCCATCTTGGGGCCCGTCTTGGCGCCCTCTTGGGCGCTTCTGGGGCCGTCTTGGGGCTATCTTCAAGACGTCCTCCCTGGACTCCGCGGCGGAAAACGCCATCGTCTGATCCAGTTTGCTCTGCCAGGCGAGGCTCGAGCTGCTCGTCGTCTCCGCAGCCGATGCGGCTCGAGGCCGGCGCGAGGGTGGCATGGCGGCTTGGGCGTCGACGCCCAGCATTGGCCCTGGAGCCATGCTCGCGTGGGCTCAGGCCAAGCTGAACGACCTCACCTCTGCCTGCGCGTGCCCGCAAACAGACGGCTTCTGCGCCAACGAGTTCTGCGATGTGGAGGGGGATCAGGAGAGCAAGAGGGGTTGCAGACAGCGCGGAGCTGTGTTCGGTACAGTCTTTAGGGATGATAGGGGCCAGGCAGAAGTGGAGACACAACAGGTTGCACAAACCCTGAGTGTGTGTGTGTGTGTGTGTGTGTGTTTGTGTGAATGTGTCTGTGTGCTTGTGCGCGCGTGTGTGCATGTAATGTTGTTATGTCCCCCTGTTCGAGGACAATCCCCACATCGAGAGATTCAACCGTGCCGCAGAGGCAGTCGAGGATCCATCGCAGCTCAGGACGCCGAGGACTCAACGGGCAATGCAGAGGAGCAGAGAGGGGGACAGCCGAACCGTTCGAAGGAGGAGGAGGAGGAGGAGGATGGATGGATGGATGGATGGATGGAAAAGAGTGGAGGGACAATGATGATGAATCTGAAGAGGAGAAGAGGAGAAGGGGAGAAGAGGAGAAGAGGAGAAGAGGAGAAGGAAGGAGGAAGGAGGAAGGCGGAGGAGGGCGAGCAACAGGGCCAGGGGCCTCTTGGACGCCTCTCGGAGTCTCTTGGGATATCTCTTGGGCGCCTCTTTGAGGCCTCTTGGGGCGTCTTTGGGATCCCTTGGCGGTCCAGGGGGCTCTTGGGCGTCTTGGGTGCTTCGGGGGGGCCTCTTGGGGCCGCTTGGGGTCCTCTTGGGGACCTCTTGGGGGCCATCTTGGGGCCTCTTGGGGGCCTCCTAGGCGCCTCTTGGGGCCATCTTGGAAGACATCGATGAACAAAGGGGGGATACTTCATGTGAGGATGTCTTGGAACCCTCTTGGTTTGTTTTGTGGGGTCTTGGGGTTCTCTTGCGACTCGCTTGGGGCTTCTTGGGGCCCTCTTGTGGCTTTTTGGGGGGTCTTGGGTTCCTCTTGGGTTTTTTTGGGGGCGTCTGCCTCCTGGGGCTCTCTTGTGGTCCTCTTGGGAGCTTTGGAGCGCTTCCTGGGACCATGTTGGAGGCCATCGATCAAAGGAGGAGGGGTTCCTAAATGTGCGTCCCCCCTTCCGAGGCCCTACCAATCGCTTATTGGGTCGAGCGTGGACGGTCTTGGGGCCGTCTTGGGGGCCTCTTGGGCTTCTCTCGGGGCTCGCTTGGGCCATCTTTGGGCCATCTTAAGGCCTCTGAAACACATCGGGAGCGAGAAGGCGAGAAGGCACACATCATTGATTTTCTACAGGTTTTGAGGGATATTGGCTTCCTGGGAGGTCCAGGGAGAGCTCCGAGAGCACGTGGAACCGTCTTGTGGCCTTCTTGGTGCCTCTTGGAGGCATGGTGGAAGTCATCTTGAGCGACCTTGCGATATCTTGAGCTATCTTGGAGGCCATTTTGCAGCATGAGAGGCCCTCTTGGAGCCATCTTGAGCGAGAAAGGACCCTCTGATGACTCGCGGCCCCCCCCGTCCAGGTCCAGGGGGGAGGGGTCAAGCAACCCACCCGCCCGCAAGCCGTCTAGCTCATTCCCACCCGCCCTCCCAACACACAAGTAACACCCGAGCCTGAGCATGTTCAGCGGTCGTCTTTGGATAGACAGCTACTGGGAACCAAAGCCGACCCCAGGTGCGCGACGCTTGGGCGAGGTGCGCAACGCGTGCCAGGGGCGCAACGCGCGCCAGGCACCCCTGGGGCCCGAGCGTGCCAGGCACGCCTGGTGCTCCAGTGCGCCACGTGCTCCGAGGGGGTGTATACTAATAAGGGACAGTGATAAACCCTTCCCCGAAAGAGAAAGAAGGAGCTTTTAAAAGAGGAAAGAAAGATATCGTCAGACCACCTGCGCCCAGAGGGCTGGTGGGACTATGATTGACGCTTCGCGCATCCCCGATCAATCCAAGCACCCACCAAATATAGCTTATAGGAACCATCTTGGGGTTATGTTGTTTCGCCGTTCGGGGCCTCTTCGGGGTCCCTTGGGGCCCGCATGGGGGAGTTTTGGGCCCTCGTTCATCTGGACGTCATCGCCTCTTGGTCCTCGGACTCCCGAGAGACCCCTGGATACCCGGAAAACCCCCCAGATTTTTCTTGAACGTCCTGAACTTCCCGGAAGCACCTCCTTTGTCCCCCCCTCCATCCTTCCTCCTTTTTGTTCCTCCCTCTCTCCCTCTCTCCCTCCTTCCTACCTTGCCCTCTCTCCTCCCTCCGCCCTCCATGAGCCAGTCGACCTAGCAGTCAAGCCATGCCATTTTAGTGGCGACGAGTGACAGAGTGGTGCAGGTGCCCTCTCTCTTTCCGTCGTCTTAGCGCAAATCTTGATGCTGTGTGTCCTCAGCCGTCTTGTCTGAGTGCCGTCTTGGGGCCGAAGACACCTTCTCCCCCTCAGGCATGTGAAGCATGGTCGAGTACTGTCCCCTTCCTTGATCGTCGGCCAGGGACAAGCGCAAAATACAGCCCAGAACCGCTCCTTGCTGCCGGCCTGTTTGTGCCTTTTCGTATCCCCGAAATGTTGTTGTTTGCTTTCTTGGTGCCGGCGCATGAATGCAAGCTAGGTGTCGGAGCACGTGGGCATTGATGCAAGACTATGGGCAGTAGTGTCTCACAGCGGCTTTCCAGGCTTCTGCTGGAATTGCCGCGAGCTGTCGAAATTCATACGAATTGCTCTCGCAGGCTCGCTTTGCGTGCTTGAACAGCTCATTCGATCATGATTGTTTCGGCCTGCCCCTGGGGCGTCTGCTTGCCGGCGGACGCAGTTCTGAAGAAGACGGCTGGAAGACCGCACGCCGCATTGGATGATCATTCGGGTGCCGGGCGATCAGCGCAAAATGACATACTTGGGCGATCTGTGCAAAAAAACATGAAACAGGATGTGACTCAAGAGTGGCCGGCGGGCCCTGCCCAGCACTACAGCGTTCGAGATATGACTAATGTATGAACGCGGTATCCCTAACACCTTCTTCAGACACCGCACGTGGGAGCTGTCGAGCTTGGCCAACTTGTGTTTCCGGAGCCACGACGCATGCAATTTGTACAGCAACTCTGTCCGCACGCAGGCTCCAAAGATCTGCAACTTACGTTGTGTGGACAGGGTGGAACGAGACCAGACTCGGACAAGGGTGTCGAACTCAGCCCTGGCGCAACCAAGCCGCCTGCTCAGCTCAGAAGCGATGGATCCATCGGCCGCCAAAACACCCTCAAATAAACCATGGAGTTTTTCTCGGGGATCTGAGCGCCGTCCAGTCCGTCCGGTGCAGAACTCTCTATTGCGAAGGGCTTACGGCCGGTGCCGCCGACCCTGAATGGCGACGACGACGACCATTAGCGCTCTCGGGGGCCTCTTGGGGGTAGTTTGCGGGCCTCTTGGGAGCTCTTGGGGGCCGTTTGGAAGCCTCGTGGGGGCCTCTTGGGGCTTCCTGGGGGTCTCCTGGGGGCTTCTTGGGGCTTCTTGGAGGGTTTCTTAGGGACCTGTGGGGGCCTCCTGAGAGCTTCTCAGGCCGAGGGCTCGAAATGTCCGTTCGGGTCCCCCGTCAGGGCTCTTCCCTGGAGCCGTCTTGGGGGCCTTTTCGGCTGTCTTGGAGGCCTCTTGGTCGGTCTTGGGGCCCTCTTGGGTCGTTTTGGGGCTCTCTTGGAGGCCTCTTGGGCCAGCTTGGGGCGGTCTTGGGGGCTTCTTGGCCTGTCTTGGAGCGTCGGGAAGCTGACCAGGCGAGAATGCCGAAATCTTTCAACATTTTTTGGGAAATCGATAATTTTTCCCCCTTTGGACCCTCTTGGAATTCCTCTTGGAGGCCTCTTGGGGCGTTTTGGAAGCCTTTCGAGCCGTCTGGAGGCTACTTTGGCGACTTGGACCAGTACCTCGGCGATTCGGAGCCCTCGAGGACCTTTTTGGGGGCATCTTGGGACAGTTTTGCCGCATCCTGCGGCTTTTCTTGGCCGCCAAACCGCCCGCGGGGGAATCGTATCTGCCCCAGGACCCCCCCGGTGTGATTCCTAGCGGTTCCTTCGCTCCTAATCCCCGCTTCCGCTCGTTCCAGAGATTGCTGTTGCGGTTGCTTGCTCTTACCTTATCTCCCGCGGCCGTATCGGTTTCAAAAGATTCAAGGCCCTTGGCCTAGAGCTACGCCTGTTCGACGCTCAAACAAGAACGATCAGCGATCATTCTTCCCGATTTCCATATCACAGTGGCAGCTTGGAGCGAGGCTCGCTATCCTGGCCCGCGGGGCCGTCCATACAGCAACGACGGCGTCTGCGACCCGTCGATACATATTGGGATCGAAGACCAGCGTCTTCCTGGTGATCATCACCCACCTGCTGCGCAGCACGCCCAGCGTCAGCGACGCCGGCGACAACGCCTACTTTTCCTACGCCAGCGTCAGCGACGCCGGCATCAACGCCTACCTCTCCAACGCCAGCGTCAGCGACGCCAGCATCAACGCCGACCCTGCCAACTCCAACGCCAGCGTCAGCGACGCCAGCTACTACGCCTATTCTGACTTTTCCTACGCCAGCGTCAGCGACGCCAGCGACTACGCCTTCAACGCCAGCTACTTCTCCTACAGCAGTGTCAGCGACGACGCCAGCTATTTCTCTTCCTACGCCAGTGTCAGCGACGCTAGCTACTTCTCTTCCTACGCCAGTGTCAGCGACGCTAGCTACTTCTCCAACGCCAGTGTCAGCGACGCGAGCTACTTCTCTTACGACGGTGTCAGCGACGCCAGCTACTTTCTCTACGCCAGTGTCAGCGACGCGGCCTACTACTTCATCAGCGACAAGATGGCAGACAGTTGCGCCAACAGCGCCATTCCCACCTGGAATGGCGACCCAGTAAAGTGGAGATATTACAAGCAGGAAGTCAAGCTCTGGAAACTTAGTGAGAACCTCGCCGTGGCACACAGCCTCGCATCGAAGCTCGTGCTGAAGCTCAGCGGGACTGCCAGGGGCGCAGCACTCAATATGACGGAGGCACAGCTGCATCCTGCATATGCGGCGGACATCGAAGACGCCGACGGCAGGAAGCGCAACAGGAACCAGGTCGGCATTGAGAATGTGCCACAGCACCTGCAGGCGAGCCTGAGTCAGCAGAAGCCCGTGCAGAAAGGCAGGACTCTCGAGCAGTTTTGGAGTCGACTCAACATCGCTGATGCAGAGGTGAACGCATGACGGATTGGCTCATCCGTTTCGAGACCAGACTGCAGCAGCTGCGCGAGAACGAGGTGGACCTCAACGCGCTGGGCGACGTGGCGGGGTGGTTCCTGCTGCGCAAGGCCGGGCTCACGGCCGAGCGCCGCGAGCGTGTCGTGGGCAATTTGCCCGACGAACGCGACAGCTACCAGCGCGTCCGCTGGCTGC